TGTAAGAAGTGAGCGAGGTGCGGGCGCAACACTGAGGGTTGCGTTCCCGTTGCCGGTCCCGGTCCGGTACGGGCGCGACACTGAGGGTTGCGATCCGTTGCCGGACACGAAAAAAGACAAAAAAAGGAAAAAAAAAAAAAAAGACCTTGAGCTAACAAATACAATGTTTCTAAGCAGATATATCCAGTTTATCCACTTCAAAATTGGATACATTAAAAATGACACAAATTACAGTACAAAATGATGCAATTTGGTTTTAAATAATTAAGAAAGTAAAAGAACAACCATATTAGTAATTTAGATTAAATTTTTGTTATATAAAAACTGTTCATAAAATAAATATAGTGAACATTGTAATCTAACCAACAATCAAAATATCATTCAAAAAATGGATGTGGGTAGTAAAACCAAACATTCATTCAACATCATCATAATTCATTCACAGATTAATCAGTTAGAAAATAACCAGACAAGTGAAAAATAAATAATTTTATTATTTCTGTACCTGCAGATCAAAGTGCTTTCAGCTATAAATTCTTTTAGAGGCAGTCCATGGTTCAGTGAAAGCAAAGGGGGGACTTGAGAACTGCTGTAACTTTGAATGTGTTCCTCGACCCACTCAAAGCTCAACAAGCAAATGACAGAAGCCTTCCACGCTATAGACACAAAGTTGGTCTTAACAATTAGCTGATTACTGAACTACAGTTATGTACAAAGGGCACAATTCTAGGGAATCAGGCTAAAAATTAAAACTAAGAATAAAAACAAACTACAGCAGCTGCACGCACTTTCAGAGGAGATACCTCAAAATGAGCAAATCGAGTTACCAAAAACAGTGTAAAAAACAGTTGAGAAAAAATGAAACAAAAATCAGTAGCTACAATGTAATATTTAAAATGCCAAATATCAAATTAAAACTTGCTGAACATGCAAAGAAAAAGTTGCCAAAAACATATTTGAAGAAATCAAGGCCTAATACTTCACAAACTGATGAAAAACTAAGTTACAGATCCAAGAAGTTCAGCAAACCCTAAATAGGATAAAGACAAAGAGAATTACACCTGCTTCATCATAATGGTGGTACTTAGTTAAAGAGAAAATCCAGGGCCGGCCCGGTGGCGCACTGCTACAGTGCGCCGCTTGAGAGTGCGGTGGCGCTCCCGCCGAGGGTTCGGATCCCACATACAGACCGGTTCCCGCTCACTGGCTGAGCG